AGAAGTCCCGTTGAACGGCGGCACTTTGAACCCACGTAGCAAAGGTGTTGTAGCTACTACGGGAGCTGTAATTCCATCCCCCAGTTTCAGGTCGTCCAGCGTTTTCTTCATGTCAGCCATTACGTTGTCAACCCGGTCGTTGACTTGGTCGATACGGGTTTCAGCTTCCGACAGGCGGTTGTCATGTTGAGCACCTTTTACACCGAAACATCCAGAATATTCCAGTAGATACGGGCGCCGACCGACCAGACGCAGAAAGTTCGAGTGTGGGGTTTCTAGAAAGCTTAATTATTCTGTTCGATACTAGATGGCGCTGTTGGTGGAAGTTCAAGATTGAGATTTTCTAGGAAGCCTTCCTTGCTCTGGTCCCCGACACTAGATGGCACTAGTGCCGGGTCACGTCAGGTGACGTCAACTTAACGCGCAACAATACTAAGAAGGCTGATACCACGGTAGTTTTTACAGTCCTGCTGCGACCATTTTACCTTATATATTGGGACTATCACGGCTTTGCACCAGTCTTCTGGTACCCGTTTTAGTTCCCAACATAAATTAAACAAGGTGTGCAGCAGGCCTGCCACCACTTCCTATTCAGCTCTTAGCATTTCGAGTGAAACTCTGTCATATCCGCTGCCTTACCTGCTTTCATTATTTCATCTATACTTATCTCTATATTCTCTTTCCTCTTCTTTTGGAGTTTCCATTTCACTTAATTCATACGTCTCCACACTCATACACACGCTATCAAAATATTCCTTCCATCTCTTTAAACTCAAAATTTCATCTTTCAGAATACAGCCATTCTCGTCTCGTATAGCATTCAATCTAGGCTGTTTTGAATTTGCCCTGGCAGTTCATACGAGTTTCCAGAACATTTTTGTACATGTTTTTCACACCTTCATCTTGTAACCTCCCTGTTCTAATACGCTGTAATGCAGTGGTAGGCACAGATGTACTTTGTCGCCAACGTCGGAAAAGACCATTAATTCGGCGTAAGATCAAGTAATAATCCGTCCCCACGTTGAACCCTCGGTAAACCTTTGTATCTACCACTGTGCTCCTTATTATTTCATCCACAATTATGAAATTTATCATGCTTCTATCATCACCTCTTTCCCATGTATACATGTGAATCTTCTTATGACGAAAGAAAGTGTTCGTCACAAAAATATTCTTTTCCACATATACGGTGAGGAGGTTTTCACCATTCTCATTTATACTTTTATCACCAAACGTTCCCAATATCCTTTCATAACCAAGCTCTTCACCAAAACCCTTCCATTAAAATCCCCTAACATAACAATATTTTCATTTCCCTTACATTTCATTAACACCATCCTTACTATCTCCCGAAACTGCTCTCGGATATAAGTGGGCTTAGACATGTCTGGGGCGTAGACCCCTAGAACAAACAACTTCCTTAAGCCCACATTCATTTGTATCCATAGCAGTCTCGGGCTTCACTTTCATACTCTTTCACACATTGACTCATTCTTTCTGAAAAGATTATACCGACTCCCTGGCATGCCCGCTCGGTCTCATCTACCACAGACCAGTAGGCGGTATTACATGCCACATGTACGGGTGCCACACGTGGGATGCATGCCATGAGTAGTGACATCCTTTCCCTTCCGTTTCGTCTCATTTACACATAACACATCTATTCCTCTATCATTCATCATATCACATGCTTCATCCATCTTATCATTCATTGCTCCACATACATTCAGCGTAGCCAGACGGGCTTCTGCAATCCACTTTTTGCCCCTCTGGGAGACAGAACGTGACGTGTGGTGAACCTCGTCGCCGGTTTTCCTCCCGGGGATTCTTCGCACCCCTGCCCCATTAAAGGGGCCCCGGGAACTCGGGGCCCTTTCTTTCTTTTGTTGTCTCATGGTGCGAAACTGTAAGATGATGTATTTTACGCCGCTACCACACGGCTAGAAGCCGAGCTTGTACTTTTCGCTTGTCGCTCATTTAGCACCACCCGGGCGACACGTGTAGTGTGGGCCTAGGATTAGGTGGTCGAAGCCTACGGACGCGAGCCATTTATCCCCCCTATGGACGCGAGCGATTTATCCCTCCATCCTTTGATATTTGAAATTAAAAAAAACTTCTATTCTTATACCCATTCCAAAACATTAAGATTTCTCTTGTTTTGGAATTCGAGTCATATTGGTGTATCCGATAATGAATATGCTGACAAACTTACTAAACGAGCTATAGTCTGTGGGGATACTTTCCTCTTTTAAAATTATTAATATGACCTTATAAGGACTACGAAATTATTATATGTATAGAGATAGGTAGTCAAAACATTGGAACAAAACAAAAACGACAAAAGGCTGTCACTATGCTAAAATTCAACCCATCATTCCTTCTAAGCTTTGGTTTTATAGATTGTCCGTAAATAAGAAACACACATCAATGTTATGTAGAATCACTGATGTAATTCGGTCTCCTTGCTAGGCTTCATATTAAAAATTCTTCAATGTGTGAATGTGGTTTAGATATTGGTGACCTCAACCATATTTTCTTCTCATGTCCTTTATATGATCATACTTCATTATTTAACACTTTGGTAAAACTTAAAATTCCTATACCTCCTCCTCTTCTACCTACAGAAATTCGTTCTCTTTTAATTTATTCTAAAAAAGGTTCAATTGCTATAAGGAATATTTAGATTTAAATAATATTAAGTTATAAAATTTTATTCATTATTTAGCCTTCAATAGTCTTTATCTAGTATTATTTAATATTTTAAACGTTGTAATAAGTTTAATTTATTTTAATTCTATATAACATTCTTCATTTATTTATTAAATTTCAGTACAAGTCACTTCATGCTTTATTAGTTCTTAACATAACGATTTCGGTTTTTAATCAGAATCATAGTTTTCCTTTATATTGTTAGTCGTTTAATTACAAGTATTATTTGTTGACTAGAGGTTTGCAGTAATTTTTAGGTTTCCATATTAAAAAAAGACGTATAACGAAAACATGTAAGGAAAACACACCGGGAGGCTACCCAATACTATAGGATTCCGTATGCTGCCATATTTTACAGATTAAAAGGCCTACATAATCACACAATTACGCCTACATAGAATGAGTGCACCAAAAGTTCTATCTACTACGAAAATTCTCATGTAAAGGAAAATATATTACGCTGGAACTGATATTTCATCAGACAGTAATATGACTAATTAAAATAAAATGATATGGGGTTATTAAAAAAGCTGTCGTGTCGGTTTAAAGCCTAGTGCTTTTGGAAAAGTTTTGACTAGCAATGAAGAACCGTGGTGGTTAAAAAAAGCAGAGGTAAATAAATCTAAACCTAAATTTAATACTCGAAGATGCAAGAAAAATATAGGGAAAGTCGTAAAAGAACAAAAAGTATTTGAACCAAAATTAATTAAAAAATAAGAGATTCGTTCAAAATAATTAAAATATAATTATCCTATATATGATATTTTTGTTTACCATTTCCACGTGACATTTAAATGAAATTTATTAATTTGTTTAGAATTACCATGAAATATCATTTGTTATCAATTACTCCAGTATTGCTTTTCATATTGTAAATACGGCAAGTTTTGTTTTGTCTACATTGACCCCATATTGCAAATAACACTTCCATCTGAAAGCAACATGTAATAATAGTGATAAGTAAGCATACGATAAATAAAAATAGGCATATTTATGCAAATCACACAATTTTCATCGTTTACATTTACCCCCTTTTCATCAAAAAATTGTAAATCAATGGGGCAATTGTAAACAGTCAATTTGAAAAATGTATTTTTTTTTATACGATAGGGTGACAAACGAGCACACAATCCACTTGATGGTAAGTGGTTGCTGTGACCCATAGACATCTACATCTATCCGCGATTACGTTTCAAAATGCAGATGCGTTGTCACCCGTGAGGACTTAGGTGGAATGCCTCGTTTCCAGTAAAAAGGGTCTCCGGTTCTCTACACTCACCATACGAAATACAGCAGCCTTAAGCCACTATTTCACGCTGGTATTCTGTGAAAGCGTGGTCCTTCCCCGGTCGAGCCGACCCATTCGTGCTACCACTATGCTACTAATATAACTGCAGCATGGCTCTACCACGTTTAGAAATACTGCCTAGTTTACATTAGGCATTGCAAATGATATTCAATAGTAATAGAAATGTGTACATTTCTATTACTATTGAATATCATTTGCAATGTATTCCACTACAACAAATATATTTTCCATGTTTGAACGGAAAATTAGAAACAGCACGTAAAGGTTTTTCCATACTGTTTACAATTAACCCTGTCTGACCCTATTATATAACCTGATATTGACATAAATAGGTAAGTCTAAGAAAAAAAAAACACTTCGGGAGTGCCGGCAGATTGTGAAAACATGAATATTAACGTTGTGCATTTTTGACATTTTGGAATGGTTAGGGAATAATTTTGCACGAATTGCTTTAATTATCAGTATAAAAGTACTATCATTTATGTGGTAGAATACAGTATTTATTTATAGCGCTATCGTACACAAACATGACAATTTATATTAGGTACATTCGCGCAAGCGCCCTGCGCTGCCTAAACGACACAGCAGGTGCAGGCATATATTTTCGCCGCGCCGTAGAAAGAGAGGAGGATACTTCCTCTCCTACGCCGTGCCGGGTGTCTCTCTCTCTCCATCCGTCTTACGAATTTTCGATCAGCCTCACGTGTCCTGACGCGAGTTTTAACATTTTTTACCCATTACAAAAAGTGTACAACGCCGCTAAAGAAGTTTTCACTTCAAAAATAATGCTTTTATAAAATAGATAATAAATTGATGGGTTTCATTTAATTTAAAGTTCATTTTCTTCTTTTTTGAGCATTTAAATTTAAATAAAAGTTTGTTTTTAAAAATGTTTTAGCATTAACTTTTATTAATACTTTTATCAAATTTTTGCCATAATAATAGTTTTCTACTATCTAAACAATATAGGGTCCAGGTTGTGATGGGGTGGCGCGCGGGCTGGTGGCGCGCGGGCTGGTGGCGCGCGGGCTGGTGGCGCGCGGGCTGGTGGCGCGCGGGCTGGTGGCGCGCGGGCTGGTGGCGCGCGGGCTGGTGGCGCGCGGGCGCGGCGCTGCTGCTGCTGGCAGCGCTGCTGCCGCGCGTGCCGTTGCACTCGCACCTGGCCTCTGACTTCCCACATCTCACTCCTCACGAGCTTGCACATTTCCTTGCGGATTTCTCAAATTATCCCAAACTCTATCCGGACCTGTGAGAGTAAAAGATTACGATTTTCTTATATTAAGTGACAAATAATTTTATAGCTAACCTAATGGTAAAGGCTACTCTAAAGCCTGAACACACGCAGCCAACTTAAAAATAGAAGAAAGGCGCTGTTGTTATATTGTATCAGTGCCTCGTCTCGCTTGCGGAACAAGATAAAATGGCAAACAGCCTGTATTGTACGGGTTCTTTTCACCGCAGCATTGGCCGCACTGTTATATGTTTAATAGATAAGGTGGAAATAGAAAGCATACTACAACACAAACAAAAGATACAAAGTTCTGTATTTCTGACTTAGCCGGGTAGATACATATGTTCGTATATTTCTTAGAGTTCTTTTCCTATATTGGTTGATTAGAAGATGGGTGCCAAGTTGTTTGCAAGGTAGTTTAGACTATTCAGAACCATTAAATCCATAGCTATGTTAGACAAAGTCCGATTTTATTTTGGATTTTGGTGATGAAACTTCAAATTTTACAGTTACGAGGGCGACACTGAAAGTTTTTAGAACTGGCCACTTGTAAACGATATAATAAAAAATTAGGTTCAAATGTTGAAATTGGAACTCTTTACCAATATTATTGTGTATGTATTTTATTTATTTGTCATTTTTTTACGATTTGTGGCTAATTGGCAATTTTCTCTGACACGTCAGCATGAATTTAACGCGAGAAATTTTCGTACAATGATTTTTATGACTTTCGATGTCATTTAGGTCAACAAGAAAGTTATGATAGACTTCGATTGGATTCACGATGAATGGCCAAATGAAGATGGGGCATCTCATGCCACTGTTTACAACTGGTTTGAGTTTAATCGTGGTCACACTAATCTTACCGATGATCTGCGCGAGGGACGGCCTTCTACGGCGATGACTGAAGATATTATCAATGTTGTGTGGCGTCAGATAGAGAGTGACAAAATAGTGATTTATCAGCAGATTCAGACAAGCTTAGGCATCGGTATAAGTCAAGTGCACAAAATCCTCCATGAAAATTTAGCAGTCAGGAATTTAGAGTCAGCTTTGCGCCTGGTGGATACCTCATAATTTAACAGAGGCCCAAAAACTCCGTCGTTTTGATTAGTGTCGTGAAATAGTTCAAATTCTTAACGGAGGTGACTCAAATACTGTGTTCGACATACTTACGGGTGAAGAAAGATGTATTTATTGTTATAATCCTGAAACTAAGAGACAGTCTGCTATTTGGCTGTTTCTTTCCGAGGAGTTGCCACCTAAAGTGAAGAGAGGTCGAAGCGTGGGAAAAACATGGTGGCCTCGTTACTCGGAAGGACAGTTTATTACGCAACAATTGTTTTAGAGGATCAAAAAACAATTACTGCAGAATGGTACACTAACAATTGTTTGCCGTTTGTCTTGGAAAAAGTTCGGGAGAAACGATCTCGCGGTAGGATCCTCCTTCACCACGACAACGCCTCGTCGCACACCGCCAAGCAAGCAATCGACTACTTGGCGACGTCAGACGTGGAATTACTGGGTCACCCGCCCTATAGTCCCGACTTCGCACCTTGTGATTTTTAGTTATTTCCGTAAATAAAAGAAAAACTTCGAGGAAAACGTTTTGTGGACGCCGAAGAAGCAATAGCAATGGCCGAGGAATGAAATGACGTTTCAAAATGCCGTCGAAGAGACCCCTAAAGACGAGTGGTCAAAGTACTTTTTTCAGTGGTTCCATCGGATGCAGCGATGTATTGAAGTAAACGGACACTATTTTGAAAAGATACAATAAAACTAATAACTTGATAGTTTGTTGAGTCTTTGATTTTCTAAGAACTTTCAGTGTCATCCTTAATTGCTAATAATTGCCAGTTTTATTGATGTTTTTTAAATATTTTAAAATAAAGTAATGTGTAAGCAATCTAATATAAATAATTATAATTCTTGCGAATAAGCCTGATATTGTGCTGATAGACCGGTCACGGTCAAGGATATTTTTGGTCGATATTACCATTATTTATGACGAGAACCTAGTGAAAGTCGAATCAGATAAGAAATCTAAATATCTGGACTTGGCTCACGAGGAGACCGACATGTGGGTTGGTCTGCTGACCGAAATTATTCCTGAAGGCGTCTCTGCAAACGGGCTAATCCCGGTCAGCCTCTCGGATCATCTGAGGCGACTGGGACTCCGTGACGGACCGCTCCGGGCTCAAATGCAGAAGGCGGTGCTCCTCGATACCGCCCGCATCGTCCGCCGGTTTCTTTCCGTTTTCTCCTAATCCTCGGCCGTTTGGTCTCCCCTGCTTGGGCTTCCATGTGGTTGGGCTTTAATTTATTTATGTATTAATTTATGTATTTAATTAATTTTATTCATATTTATGTATATTTATCATTTTCATTTACAATTATATATTTATGGAATCCAACCAGATGAGAAAACTTTATACATACCCCATAATAATGTCCTCCAGACCGAATTTCGGTCACGGCGGCCAGTCTCAATAGGACTATCTAGCTATAATATAGCTATCGGTGCAGGAAAAACTCCATACTTGATTTTTGGCCTGACCCGGGATTCGAACCCAGGACCTCATGATCAGCAGTCGCACTACTACAACCATTAGATCAATGAGGCAATATAATAAAACATGGTTAAAGTATCTCTGTCATCAGAAATTTTTTGTGCAGACAATAAGTTCACGAATATTTTCAAAGATTTAAAGAAACAGGTTTTTGACGTTAAGTTAAAAAAATATGTTTTTTTTTGTTCAAGCCTTTTTGAAAACATGCTTGTTACTCTTTAAATTTAAAATTATTAAAATTAGGACCAACAAACCAGTTCGAGGGATAAAATTTAAATTTTTGGGTATTCTGATAATTTTTTTAATTAAATTACTTATTTATTGATCTTAAATGATTGCCGTATTAGTAATAGGTCTTTTCACCAAAAACAAAAACTACCATTAGTAAAATGATCGGACTACTACTAACATAACTATGACCTTAATGGCTTTAAGTTAATGGTCTAGAATATCTTCCCCTTACGGCTTTGCAGCTTTGCACCCATCTTCCAATCATGCTTTAGTACAAATAGATAGATTTATTAGATTTATTTATATCCTATAGTCACAGGCTACATTGTAATAGTAAAGTAAAGTTAAAGTTACAGCCTATAAATATCCCACTGCTGGGCACAGGCCTCCACTCACTTCTGAGAGGGTTTTGCAAGGAAATTCGGCACGCTGCCGCAATATGTCTTCGAAGTATTTTCTTTTCTTATTTCTTAGACACATAGGTTTCCTCACGATGTTTCCTTCACCGCCGAGTACGTGGTAAATCAGCACTTGAAATTGCAATTAACAATTTCATTGCAGTCGACATGGAACGAACCCTCGTTGCTCGCGTACTGTGAAATTTACAGCGAGCGCTAATCATCTGAGCTACCACGACTCGCTATAGTAAAGTAATACCTTGAAATTATCTCATTTATTGTAATGGAGGTCCTTGGCTCTCTATATTGCCCATAGGAAACACAGCAGTATTAGGGCCGATCCTCATTTGGCATTCACAGTTCGTTCTCGGTCTGATTTATTATAATGGAATGGAATTCGACCGTAATTTGACTTTTACGGATAGTATCAATGCACACACATATTTTTTACTTGATAATATTTTATCAGACCGAGAACGACTGTGAACGGCATTTCAATGAGGATCGGCCCTTAAGCTGCTATTTTACACATGCATTCGGTCGGAGCGTAGTCCTTCCCCAGTCGAGCCGACAAATTCGTGCTATAGCCATATAATATCGTCTATTTGGATTCTTTGTTTTTAAAGAACAATACTCTTTTTTCCGATGTTGCAGGGAATCATGGACGGTGGAGGAGGAGGCGGGTAACTACACGTGGTGGCGATACTCGGTGTCGTACACTTGTGGCGCGCGGTGCTCGGGGCGCGCGGACGTGTGGCACGCGGCGGGGGATGCGGCGGGGGGGTACCTTGGGCCTTGCGGGGGGACGTGGGGGGCCTGGCGGTAGGTGCGCCGCGGCATGGCGCGGCGTCCGCGCATCGCGTGCGGGTGTTGGACGCGCGCTGCACGCGCCTACCGCTGCTGCCCTGGCCGCAACTCTGCGGTACCTAATGTCTTTTGTAATATTCTCTGAAGTTGATCTACACCACATGGATATATCCCGACTATATTGACGATCGGTACTCTATACCCAGTCCTCTTGAGTCCATGTTGCACGATTTCGAGCGACTATAAATTAGCAAGCTAAGACGGCGGTGTAATTTATCGCTACGGGTTGAGCAGTGACTGAAAATATTGCCAGTGAGAAGCCTCGTCCTGACTGTCAGAACCAGACCTTCTACTGACAAAACTGGTCTGTTGATATTGCTTCCAAGTCATCTGGACTGTTGAACTGTTTATATTTAGCCTCTTGTCCACATAAAATTGACTACAATCTCCCTTAAGCAACCGTTTTGGGCCAATAAATAACGGCATCAAGTCTTAAAATAATCAGGTACAATTCAGCAATAAATAACAAGAACTATCAAGAATTTGCGCCATTATGCAGTGAACAATAATTTTTCTTTTATCCGCCTAAAAGCTTGTCCAAGCGTTTAATTTGACATCAGAATGATTTTTTTGTTCACTACAAAACTTCAATAAAAACCGGGTAATATACTTAAATGAATAAAACCTTTGCGTGTTGTAATTTTTACTAACAGGAAAATAATTAAAACGGAAAGTTTCTTTTTGCAAATCAGCAGTAACAGAAACTTTTTTATTTAATATAGATTATAAATAATACTTTATACTGTTTAATAGCTTATACCGATTAATTTTTTTACCGCCGGGAAAAACATAAACAGGTAACTGAGGTGCTAGTTATTTTTGAAATTTATTTTTATTTTTGAAGAAAATATAGAGATTAAACATCATAATTTTAAGCACCCTACTTTACGCGTGGAAATCAATCCGAGACGTCCTTCTGTTTGAAACTGGCGGCTAATCAAAAAGTTTACTTTAATGTACCACCTAAGTAGGTTTTATTAATCTGAACATGAGATAACTTTCATAATATTAAATTAAAATAAATACATTTTAAAAACATCTAGCTGCCAATTCCCCGTTCTTAGATCACCTATTACTTATACCCTATTTTTACGGATGGTGAAAAAGTCGGTCGGATGTATCAAAAATGTCTCATTTCAGATAGGATGCGGTTTCCTTTTGTGTCCTGCTCTTGAAGTCGGGCTTGCTTCTCGCCGGATGATTCCAACGTAGTTCCTAATTCTGTTGCTGATGTGGTACTTCAGGGTATGGAACTTTTTATTCCCTCTTTGGCGGTGCCTATCGAAGGCAGATCTCAGCCACGGTTTGGTCGCTCCTGTAAAATAGCATCTTGCTGTGAGCAGAAGTGCTACCAGGCCTGGGCTGACGCATTGACATCCCATGATGTAAGCACCAGCGCCCTTATAAAGAAATATAATTCCGCCTCCAGGTCCTTCAAAAGAGTCATTGCCTTGGCTTAGCCTTGACTTGACAAGAAGCTAGTTCGCCTTCCTTCGGGATGCACAGGAATTCAGGTCTCTTGCCAAGGCTGTTCAAGGGAACTTCTGTCAGCCATCTCTTCCATTTCTACACAGAGAGGACGACTCATGCCGCAAAGGAAAAAACCGATCTGTTGGGCTCTCTCTTTGCATCCAACTCGAGTCTCGATGACGGGGGGGAACACACCGCCGACCATTCCACAGTGTGAGTGCTCCATTCTGGATGTACGGTTTACACAGCGCTCGGTTCGCAAAGCACTCCTCTCCTTGAACGTCAAGAAGTTGTGTGGGCCTGATGGAGTCCCTTCCATTGTGATGAAGACGTATGCTCCGTAGTTGGCACCAGTTTTAACGCGTCTTTTCCGGTATTCTCACTCCCTATGCGTAGTCCCGAATTCATGGAAAACGCGCTTCTTTCGAAACTCTTTTCCCATGGGCTTCCCGAGAAGTTGCGCAATTTAATTACCAGCTTTCTTGCAGATTGGAATATCAAGGTCCTAGTAGATGGTGTATGTTCCGATTATAAGTCCATCAATGCTGTTGTTCCACAAGGCTGCGTGCTGTCACCAACGCTGTTTCTTCTGCATATCAATGATATGTTGCAAACCGGTAACATTCACTCCTATGCGGATGACAGCACTGTTAATGCTCTATACACCGGCCGTGCCAAATTTCTCGGGAAAACGTAACCGAGTATCAGAAAAAAATTGTGTCTGAAGTCGAGTCTTTGCTATACAAAGTCTCAGATTGGGGTTGCTTAAATCTTGTCCAGTTCAATCCCCAGAAGACATAAATTTGCTCGTTTATCGTTACTAAGAATGCCTTTGTCGCATTTCCTCAGTTTCAAACCACTTCCCTTGATGCCTCAGCCAGTATCGGAATCCTCGGCGTCAACATATCGAATGATGTGCAGTTTTGTGGTCACCTGGAAGAGAAATCCAAATTGGCCTCTAAAAAGCTTGGCGTGCTCAGCACAGCTCAGCAAGGCCGGGGCTCCCCAGTACCAGCTCACTCCATTTGACTGCATCCAGCGCAGATTGGCTCGAATCGTTGACGATTCACTCTCCGATCGATTCGATTCACTGCGAACAGCTGTTGCACTTATTTGTATTTTCTATCGCATCTACCATGTGCAGTGTTCAGAAAAATTGTTCAGATTAATTTAGCAATCGTCAAATTTAATGAACGCACATCGTGACATCATTCACGATACCATGACATCATCTGGATGCTTGGCGATCCACCACTGTACGTTTTAATAGTAATGGTTTTCCTCGTATGACCCCTTTGTGGAATCGTTAACGTCGGCGATATTTGCGGACCGATACGACTTAGGGACTTTCAAGAAAAGAACTTACTCCTTTCTAAAAGGCCGACAATGCACCTGAAACAATAATAAAAATAGACAGACAGATAACAGAAATAAATTATGTGTGTGCGGCCGGGCATGGATGTGCGGGCGGGCCTGCGTGCGTGCGTGCGTGCGTGCGTGCGGCGTGCGTGCGTGCGTGCATGTGTGTGTGTTAGTATATACTTGTGTGCGTTTCACTTTAAATTTTCAACGTCATGTGTTCTGTATTTTTGTAATTTAATTTACTCATGTGTAATGTTGGGAGATTCGGGGAGTAAATAAAACGTCCAGTAGTCTAGACTGTACATTATTAAATCTACAGTCTAGACTACTGGACGAGAGAAAGAGCGTTAGTATTAAGTAGTATTTAGTAACTAACTAACTCTCTCTTTTATTCTATCCCACATAATATATATGAGACTACACGCCCATCGACAAAAAAGAAAAAAAAATTGAATCACAAAAAATTTCAATATAATATAACTTGGTGTATAATAAAAAAAGTGTACATTATTTTAAAATATTAAAATTCTTATTCTTATACTATAACACTTATATCATAATAAAAATATCTACATGTAATTTTAAATAATTTTATTTGTATTTATAGTAATAGTAACAATTTCATTGTTTTATGTATATGGTCTAGTGCGATTTTTATGTATTGACTTATGTTTACCTTTGTAATCTATTGTTACATTTGGTTCAAAGAAGTTGGAAGTCCATCTGGGAGTTAAACGAACTCTACGTTCGTTTAACTCCCCAGATGGACTTCTGAACAACCATTATGGTATAGCTGTAGAACATTTGGCACTTTTGCTATAGGGACAACCATTTGCAAACGACAGGTGTCTCCTCGACCATTGTCCCATTTACGGCACAGGACTCTATCCTGAATCAGCAAGCTGTCCCATTGGGTCCAATAGCTTTTAGTAGTCGAACTCATCGCTGAGACGTCGCTCCCCTTGGGCTTGGCAGCACGGGCCTTCATCCATTCCAGAATCGGCTTGATGTCCGGATCTTCCTGTTGTGCATGTTGTAAGCTGTCCTTCCACTCGTTGCTGAGGTGGTTTGTCCTGAGCATCCTCACGGATACCACTTCGTTACTCTCTTGCCTAGTACAGTGCTTGCAATCTTCAGGACAAGGTCTTCTTGACAATGCATTTGCGTTGTCATACGATTTTCCGCTGTGGTGTTCAATCACAAAGTCGTATTCTTGCTGCTGGGTGGTGTTGTTAGCCGCACAACCCTCTCGAGATCGATCACCTTCCCTTTTTATAGATCGCTTAGTGCAGCTGAATCGAAGATGGCCCTTTCCCCACAACCGTAGCACTTTGGGCTGTAATTTTTATTGTGGTCGCGAACCATAACTGCTGCAACCTCCTTAACGTGAGGGGAACGATGATCCTGCCGCCGCCAGGCGATGCCGTTAGCTGCACTACCCTCTCGAGATAGATCAACTTCCCTTTCTACAGTTCGCTTAGGGCAGCTGAAACGAAGATAGCCTCTTTCCCCACAGCCCTAGCACCTAGGGCTGTATCCATTATTGCGGTCGCGAACTGTAGCTGCAGCAACCTCCCTGACACGATGGGAACGATGATCCTGCCGCACGGCTTCCACCTCCAGTGCATGGGCCAAGGCGTCCATAAGCGTCTCGTGGTGGCCGGGCCTCACAGCAGCTCTGACTTCAAGGTCGCGGATGCCGTCGATGAATGTCTGCACCAGGTTCCCTTCAATGAGCGAAGGTACAGACTGGTATGCTTTTCGAACCATCTTCTCCAACTCAAGGGCCCACTGCTGCAGGTTTTTGTTGCTGCGTTGCACGCAATCTTTAAGCTGTGCGCGAAAGACGTGTTCCAGGTGACCGTCGTCATATCTCGCCTCCAATGCCTCAAGGAGGTGCTCGTAGGTTACTTTCTTACCGAGAGCTTCCAACACAGTTAAGGCCTGGCTTTTATTCCAGCCGTTCGCCTCCATGACGGCCTCTAACTGGATTTTGTAGGCCGACCAGGAAGAAGTCCCGTCGAATGGCGGCACTTTGAATCCACGTAGTGACGGTGTTGTAGCTACTACGGGAGCTGTAGTTCCATCCCCAAGTTTGAGTTCGTTCAGCGTTTTCTTCACGTCAGC